ATGGCTCAAATCCTTGCCCAGTCAGCCTGAAGTGTGCAGGGCACACTTGTAAATACCCAGGGTGGGGACCAGCAGGTGGCATAATGGTTAAGGTGCTGGACTCCCACATAGCTGACCATGGTTTGAGTTACGGACCTAGCAGCTTGGAAATCACACTGGGTGTGTGTACATGCATGCCCAAATCCCAGGAAGAGAATGGAGAAGAAGGGATTGTGGCATGACCATTCGTCCCTAGCATGTGATTTCTCACTTATCCTCTCATTGGTGAACCCATGCACCCTATGGCAAAAACCTAAAAAAAATTAAAAAAACAAACAAACAAAAAAATCCCAGGATCCATTGAATTGGAGGACTGGAGGAAGGGAATCATGGCATGACCAGACTGTGAAGGGTGGCTGTCTGTCTGTTACTCGCTCACTCTTGTGTAGGAGCTCTATCATGAATTTAAAAAAAAAAAAAAAATAGTGTCAGCAATAAGGTGGCTGAACCCCACATGACTAACTGCATGATTTAAGTTCTAGACTGGCATCTTGAAAAACATTTGTGGGGGGGGTGGGGGAGAGGAACAAGTGACCTGGTTAAGGTACTGAATCTCACATGGCCTGCTCTGTGATTGGAGGCCTGCACCTGGCCTTGAGAAACACGCCAGGGTGTGTGCATGTGTGCCTAAAATCCTGAGAGAAGAATGGTAAAGAAGAAATTGTAGCATGGCCATCCTTCTTTGGGGGCGATTTCTCACTTTCCCTCTATCTCTGTCTTTGTCTCTATTGAGCACACATGGACTATAGCAAAAATAAAAAGTAAATAAAAATTTAAAAGATGGGACCAACAGGTGGTGTGGTGGTTAAGTCTCTGAACTTCCACATGGCCGACCATAGTTTGAGTCCCAGACCCAGCAGCATGCTTTCTTTTTGTCTCTCTGTCTTTCTCTCTTTGGTGAGCATGTGTGCCCTATAGCAAATTAAGAAATAATGATAGCAATAGTAAATAAATAATTATTAAAAAACATTTAAAATACATTTTTAATGTTTTTTTTTTCTTGGAAAAAGCTCCTTTCCTGCACATATTATCATTGACCTGGGGAACGTGGTCAGCCTTGCCTCGTGTTCAGCCACCCTGCGTCCAGCGAGGGTCAGGTTGATCAAGTTGGGTTGTCTTCACTGCCTTCTTGCTTCCGACGCACACCCCTCCTCTGTGACTGAATTGCAGGCGGGGCAACTGATTGCTTCCTTGTGCAGACTAGGAAAAAGCTGCCGGAGTCCTGTGAGTCGCCTGCTGGGCAAGTCTGTTGTCCTTTTCACTGCGAAGGGAAGCCTAGCCCCATCCCCCTTCATGAAACTGCTAAAGTGATGCCCTTCTTACTGCCCTTCTTATTTTTTTATTTTTTTGGGGAGGTTTTTTTTTGTTGTTGTTATAGGGTGCGTGCGCTCGCCAGACAGACAGAGAGACAGAGAGACAGAAAGCAAGAAATCACCCCCCAGGGGGCATGGCCACGCCGTGATCCCTTCTCCTCCGTTCTCCTCTCGGGATCTTGGGCACGTACGCTCACACGCCCGGCATGAGTTTTAAGCCACCAGGTCCAGGACGCGAACCGCAGTCGACCACATGGGAGTCCAGCGACATAGCCATTACGCCAACTGCTGGTCCCAATTGACTCTACTTTAATTCATACTACTACTCTTGAGTGCATCATGTTGTTACATGATGGTCTCCTGTCTGACTCTGTGCCTGGTATAAGGTAGAACCCTGGTGGGGCTCCAGTAGCATGTGTTGAATGCTGATTTATGAATGAATATAGATTCAACTGTATTATTGAGCACCTATCAGGTCCAGGATCTGAAATGAGCATAGCAAATGCATATGTGAAGAAGGTGGTATATCCTCTTGTATCTTGATGGTCTGAAATCTCTTATAGTAGTTTTTCAAGACAGAAATTCAAGATTCTCCTGTCTTGAAAAATTTTAAGGGTTTTTATGTTTTTAATTCTTGACAGTGTGTACATGTGTGAGAGAGAGAGAGGGAAAGAAGCATCCTTGACAGGGTTTTATCATGCCATGATCCCTTTCCTCCAGCCATTCAGCTTGACAGGCTCTTGAGTATATGCCTGTATGAGCAAGGTGTTTTAGGTTTACCTTCCTGGGGCTTTGAGCAGGCATTTGACCGTGTGGCTTCCAGCACTGCTGTCCATCATGCTACTGACTGCCTCAGAGGTTGGCCTCTCTTGTGATTTTGATTCAGAAGATCTGAGGTAGGAATCTGTATCTTGAGAAAAACAAAATAAAACATATAAAAACCCCGGGGACTTTACCGTGCTTCCTGGTTGACGATCTCTGTCACTGCTTTAAGAAACTTGTCATTTTCTTTGTCCAGTAAGAAGGGCAGGCTGCGCCTTGTGGACTCCTGTTGCTATCTCATTGCCCATACCTTGGAAAGATAGTACAGTTTGGTGGTTAGAAGATGGACTTTGGAGACCTGGACTTAATTTCTGACCTTTATGAAATCTCGAGCTTCTATGATTCCTGGTTTCCTCATTATTCCTCCAAATAGGAGTAATCATTCCTG